CAGATTAAGGTGTGTGCAAGAGAAAAAGGTGTAATTCTGAAATTCAGGCATACTGGGTGCATAATATTTTAGAGCTGGGAAAAGTTCTTGGAGAGTCCTTTTATCTTATACAGAGACATCAGGTGACTTGTTCATGATCTCAGCTAATGGAAATTTGTTTACTCTCAACTGCTCATGTTGAGGAGACAAACATCTTAGGTAAAATGATCAATTGGCTGGGCACAGTGGCTCACACTTGTAATCCCAGTACTTTGGGGTGCTGAGGTGGGAGAATCACTTGAGTCTAGGAGTTCAAGATCAGCCTGGGCAACATAGACAGACCTTGTGTCTACAAAACATCAAAAATTAGCAGGGTATGGTGGCACATGCTTGTAGTCTCAGCTGCTTGGAAGGCTGAGGTGGAAGGATCACTTGAGCCTGAGGGATTGAGGCTGCAGTGAGCCGTGGTTATGCCACTGCACTCAACCTGGGTGACAGAGTGAAACCCTTAAAACAAACAAAAAAAAGACAAAAGAAAACGATCGATGTATTTGAATGATTGTTTTGTGAAATTGCGCTGCTGTATGTATTTGTGCCTTTGTATATATTTATGCTTTTCTGCTGATGTATTTTGATTTTTGACTAAAGTTCCAGCCTGTGATGGCTAACTAAAATTAAAGAATCTAGATAAAGTCTTGAAACAGTTTTTTGCACAGTAACCATAACTTTAATAGTCTGTTCAACTGCAAGATGTATGTCTGTAACACCCGTTAACTCATCAATAATTGATGAATAGAGAGATGTCAGTGTAATATGGAAGTTGTATTGGTTCCTATGTGATTTATTCCTAGGTAGTGAAAAATAGACATAGAAATAAAACCTTCATCTGGAAGCAGAAAGCTGTCAGCCACTCAGGCAAATTCCCTTTCTTGTTTATTTTAAGAAACTTAATGAAGTTAAATAAGAGTGCCTACACCTAGCGCTTGTTCCCCAGAAGGGTTTATTTTCAGTGTTGCATTTTCTCTTGTTCTTTCCTTAATGGCAGCCCCACTGGCCCAGAGCTCCACTTCAGTCTGATTTGTCACAACACCTGTAAGCATCATTTCCAGTTGATTTTGTTCATTTCAAATATTCCCCAGGGTAGCTTCCAGCTCTGAGCCACATGCTGGGATGTCCATCTTTTTCCTGAATCCTAGTTACTGTCTTTTTTTTTTTTTTTCTCCCGAGATGGAGTCTCTCTCTGTTGCCCAGGCTGGCGTGCACGATCTTGGTGACCTTGGCTCAACTACAACCTTCCGGGTTCAAGTGATTCTCCTGCCTCAGCCTCCCGAATAGCTGGGACTACAGGTGCCCGCTACCACACCCGGCTAATTTTTGTAGTTTTAGTCGAGACAGGGTTTCACCATGTTGGCCAGGCTGGTCTTGAACTCCCAACCCAAAGTGATCCGCCTGCCTTGGCCTCCCAAAGTGCTGAGATTACAGGCATGAGCCGTCGTCGCACCCAGTCTAGTTACTGTCTTTCTTAGTGATCTTGTTACAAAATTGCATGGGTTTCAAGTAGTTTGCCACAAACTTATTTTTCCTGTAAATTCTCTTTTTGGTGTGTGTTTTTGCAGGAGGGTGGTTTTCATGAATGGATATATTGTACTATAGCATGGATACCTCTGTAATTTGTGATGCCTGTGTAAATGCAGTTAACGCTAAATTCTTTATTCTCAACTCAATTAATATTTTACAATGAAAATGCCTGTTCATCACAGAAAAGCAAAGGATACAGAATTATGGATACTAACTGTTCATTGTGCCTGTCTCTGTCTTTTTAATATGCATTTACATATATAAATAGGTTTGAAATGTGATCCTAGAGAATGTTTTATAATGAGAATTTCTTGCCCCCCAAACACTACAAAGTATCAGGCTGGGGTACAGTGGTGTGATCTTGGCTCACTGCAACCTCCACTTCCCCAGGTGCAAGTGATTATCCTGCCTCAGCCTTCTGAGTAGCTGGGATTACAGGCATGTGCCACCATGCCTGGCTAATTTTTGTATTTTTAGTAGAGATGGGGTTGCACCACGTTGGCCAGGCTGATCTCTAACTGCTGGACTCAAGTGATCCGCCCATCTTGGCTTCCCAAAGTGCTGGGATTATAGTTGTGAGCTGGCCCCTGTCATAACTTTTTAAACTAGTTTTCCATTGATTGCCGTTTAAATTGTTTTCTAAGCTTTCACTATTACAAGCATGTTACATTGAACTTCTTTATACTACATGTTATTGTGAAATAGAGTAAGTGTTGTTAAAATGGAATAGACTTTTAGAAGGGAGATTATTGGGTCTTGGCTTGTGTTCATTTAAAATAGATATGACCCAATCAGTGGCCTTTGAAACATGGTGTAGTGATTTATATTCCCATCTATAAAGTTTAAGACTAATTTTAGTTCACTGTAAATATTATTTTCTTAGATTTTTGGTGTATGGCTTCAGGATAACACAAGGTGAAATGCTGATTGAAATGTTAAGAATGTGGAATTGATCACAACTTGAGTTTTAACATTTGTTTTTATTTTGTGCTTTAGAATTTGCTTTTTCTTACATTTCTATATGAAAAATCCAACATTTTTCTTATTTCTACAAACTTTTATTGAGACATACATGGCACACAATTAGAAATGTATAGTTCAATTAATTTTCATGAACTGAACACACCTATTTAATCAGCTTCCAGACAAACAAAACATTGCTAACCTCCAGAAGTCTTATTCTATCAGTAACTCACTAAGGTAACCATTGTCCTGATTTCTGATACCATTGATTGGTTTTGCCTGTATTTGAACTATATATAAATAGTCATATCGTATATGCTAGTAGTTGCTTTCTTTCCTCCACGTTATTTGTGAGGTTCATCCATGTTTTTGCAAGAGGTTTTACACCAGTTATTTTCATTACTGTGTAGTATTTCGTTGTATAACTATAATTAGCTTACCCATCCTTTTGTTGATAAGAATTTCATTGTTTCTAATTTTTGACTCTTAGAACTGTTACTAATAATACTGTTTCAAATGCTCTAAGGTAAACATGTCTCTTAGATGCATTCCCCAGGAATGTTGATGGGTTAGTGTATTTCTAGCAGTTTGTTTTTTTCCCTCCAAAATGGTTAATACCACCTTGCACTGTCGCAGTATATAAAAGTTTAGTTGCTCTGCATTCTTGACAATACTTCATTCTTGTTGTAGCTATTTTTGTGGAGTTGGTTTTAATCTGCATTTCCCGGGTATCCCTGGTGACTAATGAAGTAGAACATCTTTCCTGATTTATAGAAAGTTTTTGACTTTATTTATTGACTGTTTGGATAATCTCATTTGTCAAGTACCTATTCAAGAGTTCATTCTTTTTCTTTTGGGGTTCCGTCTTGTCCTTGTTTTGTAGGAGTTCTTCACATATTAGAAGTGTAAGTCCTTTGTTTGATATGTTTTGCAAATACTTTTTCTTAGTCTCTTAAAGGCATTTTTTGATGAATAAAAGGTTTTAATCTTCCAGTTTATCAAATATAGTCCAATCTGTCAATCCTTTTTTTTTTTAAGTACTTCTGTATAAGAAATCATTGCTTAGTTTGAGGTTTTGAAAGTATCTTCCTGTATTTTTTCCTAAAACCCTCATTGTTTCACCTTTTACATTTAGACCTACAACCCACCTGGAATTCGTTTTTGTGTATGGTGTGTTGAAATTCATTGCTTTTCCTGTATGAGTATATAGTTGATCTAGCAGTATTTATTGAAAAAACCATCCTTTTCCCACTGCAGTGCTGCATCAAGGTTTTCAGACATCAGAGTACTGTATGTGAGATGGGTCTGTTTCTAGACTCTTCTTTAAAAAGAAAACTGATTTGATCAGTTTGCTTATTCTTGTACAAGTACTGTATTCTCTTAATAAAGGTTTATGATAGTTCTTAAGGTAATTTTTTTTTCAGATTAGAATCTCAAAACAACTTGGGCTGTCCTTGGTATTTCTCTATAATTTTTAGAATTGAAATTTGTTAATTTCTACAAAAAAACCTGCTGAGATCTTACATCAGTTGTAAAGATCAAATTGGTATCTTGGCAATATTGAGTTTGCAAATTCATAAGCAGAGTAAATTCCTCCATTTATTTAGGTTTTCTTTAATTTCTTTCAGTGAGAACAAAGCTGGAAGACTTAACACTATTAGATATGAAGACTAAATATAACATCTAGGCTCATTAAGACAGTATAGTATTGATACAAGTATATATAAATAACTTATTCAAATAGACCAGAGAAACAGGCCTAGGGTTGTGGTTTGTACCTGTAATGTCTGCGCTTTGGGAGGCCCAAGGCAGGAGGATCACTTGAACCCAGGAGTTTGAGACCAGCCTGGGCAATATAGTGAGACCCTACTTCTCAAAAAAGAAAAAAAAAAAAATTAGCTTGGTAGCTGTGTGTGGTGGCATGCACCTGTAGTTGCAACTACCTGGAAGGCTGAGGTGGGAGGATTACTTGAGCTTGAAAGATTGAGACAGACTGCACTGAGCCATGATCATGCCACTGTACTCTGGCCTGAGTTACAGAATGAGACCCTGTCTCCAGAAAAAAAAACAGGTGCGGTGGCTCACGCCTGTAATCCTCCCATCACTTTGGGAGGCCGAGGCAGGTGGATCACCTGAGGTCAGGAGTTCGAGACCAGCCTGGCCAATCCAGTGAAACCCTGTCTCTATTAAAAATACAAAAATTAGCTGGGCATGGTGGTGGGCACCTGTAATCCCAGCTACTGGTGAGATTGAGGCAGGAGAATCAACCTGGGAGGAGGAGGTTACAGTAAGCAGAGATCGCCCTATTCCACTCCAGGCTGGGCGACAGAGTGAGACTCCATCTAAAAACAAACAAAAAACCAGATAGTCAGAAGCCAGCAGTATCAGTGTTTGTTCTATGTTATGTTTAATTGACAAGTGATTTAGAATTACAATCTTTAGTGGTATTTTACTTAGTGTTCCTTTTCCTTTTCTAACAGGTGCGGGCCATGTTTGAGGATTGCGCCAGCATTCAGTTCAATGAGTAATAAATATCCACAGGCTGTTTTCTTGGAAGTCGATGTACATCAGTGTCAGGTAAGGGAAAGGAATCTTTTTTTCTTTTTAATTTACTTTTGAATAAATCTGAAATCCAACATTAATATTCTTCATTTATCTCTTGATGCACATAGTACTTATTCCTTTGAAGATAGGAAGATGTTATGTTGATGTCATTATTACAGATGTCATTATGGCTGCGTTAGTTAAGAAGAGTAGCACATTATTAATTGCTTCAGGTTTGTATTAATCACCTTCTGATATAAAATTAATTCGATGTTGTTAATAGGTCACCCAGCAGTTCTGTGTAGTACATTTCCTTATGTTTTGCAAACCTAGAATTGTATCTTCTACCCCCAAGGCATTGGCATTATATAACAGTGGCAAGGAGTTCTAGTTTGAATTGATCAGTTTGTAATCTTATCTCCAAATCGACACACTGAGCAGAAACTTTTTAAAATGGATGATTACTGTTGATTGAGCCACAGTGTTGTAGGTGAATTGCCCTGATTACTTAGTTGTATGTGACAGTTCTGTATTTGTATATGCAGAAATGTGGGGAATTGTTAAGGAGAAAAAAAAATGGAAGGCTCCTTCCAACACTAAAAAATAAGAGTCTTTAGTTCTAAGGAACAACTCTATAGCTCTGCAGCTTTATCTTTGTTAAATTTCTGAGTGTGGAAAAAATTTTAGAATATTACGTAGTGTGTAGTTACTTTGGGAATTTGTTGAAAACCCTACGTTATACACATTTATGTTTCAGCACTTAGTTGCGTGTAATTGCACTGTATCTTTGGTCCCTGATTTAATCACTATTTCTGAAATGAAAGTGCTTTCTCCTGGAGCTGTTCTGTCAGGTATTGTAACCACTGGCTACATGTGGTTACTGAGCACTTTAACTGTGGCAAATTCACATTGAGATGTACTGAATGTATAAAATACAGATCAGATTTTAAAGACTTAGCATTTTAAAAATGTAAAATACTGCATTGCCTTTTATGTTGATTAGATTGAAAATGCATGTATTAGGTTTGCTGTAATATTAAACTTGATTTTACTTATTTTACTTTTTTATTATAGTTAATAGAAAATTTAAAATTGCATGTGTAGCTCACATGCACTACATATCCATTGTTTTGGGCAGCACTTTCCTGAAAGGTCATCGTTTTTTCACCTAGAGGCTTTGAGAAGACATTCCTATGTTATCTTTATGTTCTTTTTCTTTAAAAAGTGTAGTAATGATTTTCATAATATTTGAATATGTAAGGTGCCATATTTGCTTTACTGTTTCCTTTATATTTGTCATGAAAAGTTTAAACTGGGATACTCAGTGGGTATTAGGTAATTTCCATTCAGTAGTTATAGTCTTATACGATTGTGAAGCTAGCACAGAATTTAAAAAGATAGCTGTTAGAATGTGTTCGATGGGTGACTGAAGTCATTTCTGTAAGAGTGAAAATTGGGTGATGGTGGCAGTGCAAAATTGTTACCTCTTTTTCATAGGCAGATTGGCTACCGGTTTTCAGACATGCACTTTTTTCTAGTAGCAGTGGTTTGTGTTGACTTTATCAGTACCCTTCTTGGTTATTCTTTTTGAGAAATAATGTAATTATAAAAGACCTGTCTGGAGTAAAGCAGAATTTCTGCATTGGAAGCTAATTTTTCTACTAGATGATGTATTTAATAGTAAAAATGATAGAAGTGTAGGGAATGTTCTTTATTGTGTGTGTAAAGGTGATGTAGCTATGCCCAAAGGGGAACTCTCTTAGGATAGGTCTGTTTTGTCCTTAAATAACAAAAATGCAGTATTTTACATGTTTTTAGTTTATACTTATGATATTTAACTTCCATAAAGGTATAGAATGAATATTCAAAGTGGTTTAAGATTTAATTCATAACACTGTCCAACTTGCCAATTCTAGGGAACAGCTGCCACCAACAATATATCAGCAACACCTACATTTTTGTTTTTTCGAAACAAAGTGAGAATTGATCAATATCAAGGAGCAGATGCTGTGGGATTAGAAGAAAAAATCAAGCAGCACTTAGAAAATGACCCTGGAAGCGGTGAAGACACAGATATTCCAAAAGGCTATGTATGTAGACTGAAAAGTGAAATCATAATATATAATATCTTGTACATGTCATTATTTGGTTAAAATGAAATATAACTATGTTTTCATGTTCTATCTTTTATTGGTTTAGAATGCTTTTAAATAAGAGCTTTCAAATTAAATTTATTAGCTGGCTATTGAGTTTTGTCTGTATGTGTACATCTGTGTGTTAAGCCTCTATCATAAGCCATTTTTCCTAAATTTCTCCTAATTTTCTTTGCCACGTTTTCTTAATCTGCTTTCTGAACTATTTTAATAGCCATTTAAAAATACTAGCTTTATACTTTTTTTTCCAAAAGTGAAGTATGCATTGGAAATTTTTTTTTCACTTTTTGACAGTTATGTAAAATGACTTACAAGTTTTAATTATCGCCATTATATATTGAACTCCTTTTGCTGCCACTCACTTCCTGTGGTTTTACATTTTAAATGTAGGCCCTCTTTTCTGGCACTCTTTTTTTAAAAAAAGTCTAGTTACTGATTTTGTTTTAGAATCAAATTTGACTTTAGTATCACATGTGGTACTCTAGGTTTTAAGAGTAACTCATTCCAAATAGCAACATAAAGACTAAGAATCTAAAGGATAGTGTGTGGAAACTACAGAGTATGAATAGTTAGAATGCAGCATTTTTAATTTGAGAGCTATTCAAGAAGGAAGCAAACTTTGGAAACAGCACTTCGTGGTATTAGATTTTTTTATACAAATAGGTAAATCCTACATACTAAGAGATATATATAGTTTTTAATTTCTCTGTTTATAAAGTTACTGCACTGGCATATCAAGGAATGAATTTTTTAAAAAGTTACCTCAAGTTAAAGCTAATTTTTTTTTTATTTTGTTTTGAGGCAGAGTCACTCAGGCTGGAGTGCAGTGGCACGATCTCTGCTCACTGCAACCTCCGCCTCCAGGGTTCAAGCCATTCTCCTGCCTCAGCCTCCCCAGTAGCTGAGATTACAGGCACCCGCCACCATGCCCGGCTAATTTTTGTATTTTTGGTAGAGACAAGGTTTCACCATGTTGGCCAGGCTGGTCTCGAACTCTTGACCTGAGGTGATCCATCCGCCTCGGCCTCCCAAAGTGTTGGGATTACAGGCATGAGCCACTGCGCCCAGACAAAGCTAATATCTTAAACAAGGTATAACTGGCATATTAAAACAGATTTGTGTCATGGAGCTACAAGTCCTCTCTATATCATGCCGAATGAAGAGATGCTATAGTCCAGTAAAAATGAGAGATTCTTTGTATATGTGTGTGTAGTGGGAGATTGGAGGGGTGTCAGAAAGCATCAGTAATGTGATACCAGCATTAATTTAGGCAAGTTCAATTACTGTTTATTTAAAATAGACCTGTAATTTGAAATTGTAATGTCCAATTAGGAAGTATGAACATATCGTTTATGTCAGGGTTGTTACATCTTTTGGACAGTTTTGGAAATCATTTAACTTGTAAACCATTGTGTTTATATCTTTGTATTTTTTCCCTTTATTACTAAGGGTGTTTGCATTAAAAAGTCTTAGGAGCACAACAGTCTTGTTGCCTAGCTGCAGGCTTACTCCTTTACACATCAGCTGTGGTATGAGTGTTTTGGCCTCAGATAGGAAATAGACAGAAAAAAATGAAGTTTTAAGAAATAAAAACTCAGTTTTTGTGCAAATGTTATGGATAAAATATGAAAAGCTGTTATTTTTAAATGTCCCTTTTTTTCTGTCAGGTGTCAATCAAGACATCAAAGGTTTGAACTATTTATTTAGGTCTTACAGTGTTATTCAGTATTTAAAATTGGTAATCTTATATAACCATGATACCATTATATCTCCAAGAAATTTAATATTGATACAGTATTTCTAATTATCATACATTCAGATTTTCTTAATTATCCCCAAAATATTCTTTATGGCTGCTTTCTACCATTTAGGGTCAAATCAAGGATTGTGCATTGCATTTAAGTTGTCCTAATTAATATTCTTTGGTCTAGAAACTTTTCTCTGCCTTTTTTTGTCATGGTTTCCCGTTTTGGAATTCTAAACCAGTGCCAGTCTAGTCAGGGTGGCCAGTAGGCGCACTTGTCTACTGAATATTTTCTTATATGACTAGTGCAACTGAGGGACTGAATTTTTAATTTTATCTAATTTTAATTAATTTAATTTTAAATTGCCACTTGTGGCTAATGAGTATCATGTTGAATAGCATGGGTCTAGGCTATCTGTTTTATTTATTTATTTATTTATTTTTTGAGATAGAATTTCACACTTTTACCCAGGCTGGAGTGAAGTGGCACGATCTGCAACCTCTACCGCCCCTTTGGCCCCGGCCACCGCCATCTGGTTGAAGCAGTTCTCCTGCCTCAGGCTCCCAAGTAGCTGGGATTACAGGCACGCGCCACCGCAGCCCGCTAATTTTTGTATTTTTAGTAGAGAGGGGTTTCACCATGTTGGCCAGTCTGGTCTGAAACTCCTGACCTCACGTAATCCACCTGCCTCAGCCTCCCAAAGTGCTAGGATTACATGTGTGAGCCACTGTGTCCAGCTAGGATACCTGTTTTAGAGACAGTTGCATATTCTGGATTTACCTGATTATTTTCCTATGATTGGCATGTTGATTATAAAGGTAACGACATTTATTTCTCATTGCAGGTTTTCAGAATATGTCAGTTTCCAGTTATGTCAAATATGCAGTGTAATAATGCTAGTTTGTCCCAGACAGTGTTGTATATTGTATAACAAAATACTTTAATGCAGCCCTTTAAATATGTTTTGTGAGCTGGGCATGCAGTGGCTCACACCTGTAATCCCAGCACTTTGGGAGGCCGAGGTGGGCGGATAACCTGAGGTCAGGAGTTCAAGACCAGCCTGGCCAACGTCAGAAACCCCGTCTCTACCAAAAACACAAAAATTAGCCAGGTGTGGTGGCACACTGCTGTAGTCCCAGCAACTCGGAGGCTGAAGCAGGAGAATCGCAGGAGGCGGAGGTTGCATTGAGCTGAGATTGAGCCACTGCAACTCCAGCCTGGGCAGCAGAGGGAGACTTCATTAAAAACACACACACACACACACACACACATATATGTTTTGTGTTGTGTGCCCCACAATAAATAAAAATAAAAACTATTGAGAAGAATTTACCCACTTAGTATTTTTATCATTTCGGTATTGCAAGTCCGACTGTAATGTTGTCTTAATCCTAGATAGCATATTGAAGTGACATATAGATAGGATGGAAGACAAAAACATTTAAAAGATTTTGTCAAAACTGCCCTTTTAAGGCAAATGTTCATAATGCTCCGAATAATTCTGCTATAGTAAAACTTTGCTCTGTGGCCCTTCTTTCTTCCCTCCCCATCTTTTAAATTGGCTATACGTTACTCTGAGTAATACATTTACTATAACATTTTAGCCTTGAAAGCATTTAGGCTGTTTTATATATAACTAGAGGTCTATACTAATGATTGTTACCATTTTCATATTTACTTGACATACAAAGTTTTCTTCAGTCTTTCAGAATTATGTATGTATGTATTAGTATCTTCTCTTTAAAAAACGTGATGAAAGCCCTTTGAGATAGAGAGGTGAACATGTGACTCATCTGTAATACTTGGTAGACTTGAAAAGTAATCCTTGTTTAGATGAAATGGATACTTTTCTAGAAAAATACACTTTTACCAAAATCAACTCTACTAGAAGCAGAACACCTGAATAGACCAGCACCATAGAGAAATAGAAGAAATAGTTGTAAAGATTTCTTCCATAAAGACTTCTATGACTTTACAGGTAAATGTTGCCAAATCCTTATAAAGATCAGGTAATCTAGTGTTACTGTAACTACTTCAGATCTTAAGTAAAAAGAAAACTTCTAAATTTATTTCTGAACTATGACATTGATCTGATAATTTGACAAAGTATGCACCAAAAAAGAAAGCCACAGGCCAGTTTCGATTATGAATATTGGTGTAAAACCTTTAAATAAAGTGTTAGTAAACAAAATTCAATAATATCATCATGGGCTGGGTGTGGTGGCTCACACCTGTAATCCTAGCACTTTGGGAGGCTAAGGTGGGCAGATCACTTGAGGCCAGGAGTTGGAGACCAGCCTGGCCAACGTGAAACCCCAACTCTACTAAAAATGCAGAAATTAGCCAGACATGGTGGCACACGCCCATAATCCCAGCTACTCAGGAGACTGAAGCAGGAGAATCACTTGAACCCAGGAGGTGGAGGTTTCAGCGAGCCAAGATTGCACCACTGTATTCCAGCCTGGGCGACAGAGTGAGAGTGTCTCAAAAAAAAAAAAAATTAATAACAAAATTGAGTTTTTTTAAAGCATGTAAAAGATGTTTATATTAGGAAGTTTACTTAATCTGTGACATTAGTAGACCTATGGAGAAAAATCATGATCTCCAAATATGCAGAAAAGGCATTTGACAAAATTTAAATACCCCTTTATTCCTAAAGCATTCAGTAAAATCTTAATAAGGAAACACTGGAAGCATTCCTACTAAAGTCAAAAACAAGACAAGCATGACCAACCGCTGTTAACACAACTCTGACGTTGTGTGGGTGGTATGGAAGTGTTAGTTAATACAGTATACAGAGATGGACATGTGCTGACTGACATCACAGGGAAGCAAACAGTAAAATCCAAAGTATTGAGAAATCTATAAGCTAAATGACTAGATTAAAAGAGATTTCAGAGACATATGAACTAAATATAATTTATTTTATATATATATGTGTGTGTGTATATGTATATATTTTTTTCTTGGAGACGGAGTCGTGCTCTGTTGCCCAGGCTGGAGTGCAGTGGTGCAATCTCGGCTCACTGCAACCTCCGCCTCCCAGGTTGAAGAAGTTCTCCTGCCTCAGCTTCCCAAGTAGCTGGGATTACCGGTGCCTGCCACCATACCTAGCTAATTTTTGTCTTTTTAGTAGAGACAGAGTTTTACCATGTTGGCCAAGCTGGTCTCAAACTCCTGACCTCAGACGATTTGCCCGCCTCGACCTCCTAAAATGCTGGGATTACAGGGGTGAGCCACCCCCACCTGGCCTCCAAATATAATGTTTATACTTTTTGTTTGTTTGTTTTTTGAGACAGGGTCTCGCTGTGCCGCCTGGGCTGGAGTACAGTGGCGCAATTTCAGCTCTCTGCAGCCTTGATTTCCTGATCTCAAGCCATCCTCCCAGTTCAGTCTCCTAATTAGCTGGGACTAAAGGCACATGCCAAAGCACGCAGCTAATTTTTTAGAGACAGGGTCTCACTGTGTTGCCCAGGTTGGTCTTGAACTCCTAAGCTCAAGGTGTCCACCCACCTCGGCCTCCCAAAGTGCTGGGATTAGAGGCATGAGCCGTCATACCACACCTTTTTCTTTGGCGTATGCTTTTTTTTAATCTTTATTCTGAGTGTAACAATTCAACTGTAAAATATTTATGAGACAGTTGAGGAAATTTGACCACCGATTTGATGGTGTTAAGGAATTATTGATTGTGATAATGATATTGAGAATGTGTGTGTGTGTGTTTTAACTTCTTATTGCTTAGAAATTCACACTGAAATGTTCATGAATGAAATGAAAAGATTTTTTTTTTTTCAAACTAATCAGGAGAGAGTTAGGATGTGGTTGGGGGTTAAAGATGAGGCAAGAGTGGCCTTGAGTTGATGATTATTGTAGCTGGAGGTGGTGGATACATGGGATTCACTATGTTATTATATTTTTGTCTGTTTGAAATTTTTCATGATAAAAACTTTAAGTCCTTATTTGCTACTCATCTTAAATCAGACATCTTCATAGATAGAGAGAGTCCTTGGCCACTAGGAGGGAAATAGGCTTTTTTTTGGATCTTACAGATATTTTAATTTGTGTATTTTCTTCTGTAGAACACTTATTTTTTAAAGTATAAGTCAACATTTTAAAATTATGTTAAAGACATAATTTCTGATACATTAACAAGTAGGCTAAGCATAGATTTGGCTTTAATAATTAATGGTAGATCTCAGTCAGAAATGCAAATAAAAGGACTACTGTAAAAGTTTTATGAACTGTTTTAAAAGTGTTTTCTTTAAAATTGCCTAAAGAGAATCACAGATTTAAATTTTTTTATTAACATTTTTATACCTAATCCAAATATGTTGCCTAAAATCTTGATTTAAATTTTTTTTCAGATGGATTTAATGCCTTTTATTAACAAAGCTGGTTGTGAATGTCTTAATGAAAGTGATGAGCATGGATTTGACAACTGTTTACGAAAAGACACGACCTTCTTGGAATCTGACTGTGATGAACAGGTAATTAAGGGCTGAAGTTAAGCTTGTGGGGATTATCACTATTTATGCCTGCTCTTGTTTCTTTATCTTGTTCCCATCTTGTGGCTTTTGTCTCTCCTTCCCGGATGATCACTTCTTCCTTTCATTTCTGTAGCTTTTAGTATCTTTGACTTTTGTTTTTTGACCATACACACCCATCTCCTTCTCTGTTCTTGTATGTGGGCTGCCACATAAAAGAACTTAGGTGCACTAAGAAAAATTGCTGAACTCTTGGGTGAGACCCACTGCAGAATTGAGCTCTTACCGCTGTTTGATCCTTTTGTTCATCCTTGACCTGACTTCCATACCTTCTTCCCACCCAGATGAATTTGTATCTGAGAAATAGAGATTAATGAGATGAGCCCTCCCCATGTGGCTATCTCCTTTCTCCTAGATAGAAACCTGTATTATATTCCCTGTGCTTCCCTGCCTTGCCCTTACCACAGAGTAAGTTGGGTGTTACCTCCTTGATCAAGCTTTTTAAATTTTTGGCTGTTATTTTCCTCAGTTTACTTTCTCTTCCATTGTCTCTGATTTGGCCCATTCTGGTTCATCTTCTATATGATAACAAAAGTTATTTTTCTAAAATATAAATCTGCATGTTTCCCTTCCTTAGAAGAGTGAAATGACTCTTCACTGGCTTTAGGAAGAGGCTGACTTGATCTGCTTTTAGCTTTCTCATCTCTTCTGCTTTTCACCTACAGTTCAGTTCCCTAATCATGTCATGCTTATTATTTTTTGATACCCTATTATGGGTTGAGTATAAAAAGTATTGGTGTAACTAAAGGAAATAGCCTAGTTATTTTCTCAGGCAGATAAACCACAACATGATTCTGAAATCATAAATCCAAACCCCATCTTTTCTATGCTGTAACCCCAGAGCCACCATATTTTACAACTTTGAGAGTGTCATTCACATTGTGTTTCTTGTAAAATGGTGCCCTAAAAATAATGTGATAATACTAATCAGCAGGACTGGCTCAGGCTTCCTGAGATTTTCCTACCCAGGAAATCTTTCCAGGGTAGAAGCATAGGTACTTTTATCAAACGCACTTTTGGCTGGAAAGAAGATTGTGCAAATGATCCAGAAGAGTTTCAGAGAGACAAGCATACTGACAGTGTTTCATATTCCTCTTCCCTTATGTGGCCTTCCAGATTCAGTCAGTCAAGTAAATGTAGGATGGAAGTTTGGAGGTTACCTCAGAGCTGTAAGAGCCCTATTCTCTTAAGTTTGGGATCTGAGTCCATTTCAGGGCTAGTCTCTGCGTAACCTGTGTATTGCCTCTAAATCGTCAAGTTATGTGAATAGATACTTGACCAATAAACCATCCTAGAGCTGTATGCTAAAATGAATAGTTTAAATTTTAATTTGCGATTTTTGTTTGATTTGTTAGAAAGCAGGTTGCTTGCCAGTTTATAGCTCACAAGACCTTACATTCCTATGTATAGTTTTAGTATTTACTTGATGAATTTTTGTCTTGTATTCCCTTATATAAATAACTGATGGTGGTATTTCTCAAATGTTATCTAATCAAGTGACTTTCAACTTGCTGATTTTTCATGTTAAGTTAGTTTTGTTTGATGAATTAGGTTTTTTTTTTTTCTTGCCTGGTATTTTCATCCTACTGCAGTAGTTTGTGTACTCAGGGTGTACAAGAGTCCTTTTAAAATGAAACTCGTGTCTCCACAGCTACTTATTACTGTGGCATTCAATCAACCTGTTAAGCTTTATTCCATGAAATTTCAAGGACCAGATAATGGTGAGTAAAGGATAGCTTTTCTTTAAACTAACTTCCTGCTTTGTAGAACTGTTAGCATAAAATTAAAACTTTTTATTAAGTAGAGGTAGGTTTTTTGGTTGTTTTTTTTTTTTGGAGACAGAGTCCAGGCTGGAGTATGGTGGTGTAATCTTAGCTCGCTGTAATCTCTGCCTCCTGGGTTCAAGCAATTCTCCCACCTGTGCCTCCTGAGTAGCTGGAACTGGGACTACCAGCAGGCACTACCACGCCTGGCTAATTTTTGTATTTTTAGTACAGGATTTCACCACTGTTGGCCAGGCTGTTCTTGAACTCCTGACCTCAGGTGATCCACCCACCTCGGCCTCACAGAGTGCTAAGATTACAGGTGTGAGCACTGCGCCTGGCTTGTTTGGGAACAAAGTAAGATATAAATGAATGGGTAAATAATGTGAGATTATTAGGTACTAAAAGTGTGAAAGAAAGAGAACTTAGTTATTTTTATACTTTTTTATTTTAACATTTGTTTCCTTTTAATCTGAGAAGTGCTAAATGCGTTTTTCCAACTGTTCTAAAACTGTAGATTCTGAGCAGCCATATTTTAGAACCAAAACTGAAAGATTTATTTCAAACCCCTTTTGTTTTAAGTGAGAAAACTGAGGCTCCAGATATTCCTGTTTGTGCCCTATTAATAGTATCATCTTTTTTATATCGATGCATGTAAATATGATTGCGCAGACTTAGGATTTCTCTTCTAAAATAAAGAATTTTCCTTTTTTACCCCCCCATTTTTTCTTTTTCTGTTAAGCTTTTTCTGAGGGGTAATAGGGGAATGGAGACTAGGGTTCGATATTTTTTTGATTGATTGGAAGAAATAGCCAAGGCCTTATTTAGAAGATAGCATTTTCTTATTTGTTGTGTTAAATTTTTATGTTAATAATTTTTTATTAATAAAATTGTACTTTTACTCTGAAATTACGAAGTATTTCTATAAGCAAATGCTGCAGAAATGAGTCTTACTTTTCCTTCTTCAGCCACAAAATATGAGTGTTAAATTGTTCCTTGAAGTTAAAGGGATTAAGGCATTCTATACGTGGGACTTTACCACTTAGAACATCCTAATCTAATCCCTAAAATGAAATTTGGCAATTTTTATTAATTTTCTTTTGGCTAAATGTTGTCACTGATAAGGCTCTCCTCCTAAATAACTAAATGTACCAACTATTAGCAACTATAAGATCTAGTTCAAATGCTATTTTATGAAGCTTTTTGTTAACTTGCATATATTGTCAGAATCTGTTGTCACCTTCCTTGTACCTCCTCTCCTGTGGTATTTTGCTTATCATAGCATGTCTTTTGTAGTTGGGGGCAGGGACTTGCTCTGTGTGTATGTGTTTGTTTTAATCTTATATTCCTAATATTTACCACAGTGTTAGCTAGGCCGAGAAGGAACAGTAAACGTGTATTGGAAAATAAAGGATTGGCTGCCTGAATACTCAAACTTTTGTACAAGTTCTAATAATGGAGTTATTTGAAGTATATGTATATTGATTTGTGTGTGTCTGTGTGTAGTGTGAGTGTTGTGGTAAAGGGAGTGTAGTATATTTGAGGTTTTTAAACATTTCATTTTATTCTACCATTTTATAGGTCAAGGCCCTAAATATGTAAAAATTTTTATCAACCTACCCCGATCTATGGATTTTGAAGAGGCAGAACGAAGTGAACCAACTCAAGCTCTGGAACTGACAGAGGATGATATTAAAGAAGATGGCATTGTTCCACTTCGTTATGTTAAGTTTCAGAATGTTAACAGTGTAACTGTAAGTAGTATTTCATCCATATGTATTTAATAGGTTTGTGAGTAACAACACTATTTTCAGTATCCTAGGTGAGTCTAAGTGATTCTTTAAAGTGGTATTTATCCACTCAATTTGAAATGAGTAAAATGTATAATAGAATAAATTTTCTTCTTTTAATTTATGTACCCTAAAGAGGAAGGACAGATTGATTTTTGAATATTTGTGGGTTTTTGTCAGTTATTTTATATGTATATGGTAACTTTTGCTAGAAGTTTATTCTATAACTTGATACTAAAACTGAAGATATTTGTGCTTTATTCTTTATACCTGGTAATAAGTAGTGATGCGTTTGTAAAATCCTGTTTACTTTTATTGAAAGTGTAGTGGTCATGATCTTAGTAAAAATGACTTTTTATGTATTTTTTTGAGATGGAGTCTCGCTGTGTTGCCCAGGCTGACTTGAACTCTTGGGCTCAAATAATCTTCCCACCTCAGCCTCCTGAGATGCTGGGATTACAGGCATGCACCACTGCACCTGCCTTAAAAATGACTTTTTAAAAATATAATATTACATTTTATAAGATGACCTAAAGTATATCTGAATTTTTTCTTCCTTTGAGGCAGGTTCTTGCTTTGTTGCCCAGGCTGGAGTACAGTGGCACGACCTTGGTTCAGTATAGCCCTGACCTGCTGGGCTCAGGTGATCCTCCCTCAGCCACCCAAGCACTTGCAACCTCAGGCACGTGCCACCACACCCAGCTAATTTTTTATTTTTGTAGAGTTGAAGTCTCCCTGTGTGGCCCAGGCTGGTCTCAAACTCCTGGGCTCAAGCAGTCCTCCCACCTCGGCCTCCCAAAGTGCTGGATTTATAGGCTTCAGCCACTACACCCAGCCTTTGTGAAGATTGACTAGTGCTTGAGATGATTTTAAGTGATGTGTATTAGATGTCATTATTAAAGTGCCGCTCATAAGAATCACCTACTTTTTAGCAGTTATTAATTGCTTTTAAAAAATTTAGCATTGAAACCCAGCTCACGCTTCTCACCTACAGTCATTTAGAGGAATGGGTAGGACAGTGAGAAAAGAATAGTAGAATATTTAGAAAAAGAAAGTAGGAACCAGCACAGAGCCACTGAGAATGTCATGCCAAACTGTTACAATTTGTTTGTTGTGATGGAATAATTCTATTTTTGTAAATTAGAAGAATGCTAAAGTATGTGTTCATTTAAGAATGTTTTTGAGAGTTTCACAGAATATACGTCGTAGTAGTATGAAGAATTATAATTGGCTGGATGTAGTGGCTCACTCCTGTAATCCCAGCATTTTGAGAGGCTAAGATGGGCAGATTGCTTGAGCCCATGATTTTGAGACCAGCCTGGGCAACATGGTGAAACCCGATCTCTACAAAAAATACAAAAAGTAGCTGGGCATGGTGGTGCGCCTGTAGTCCCAGCTACTCTGGAGGATCACTTGAGCCTGGGAGATTGAGGCTTCAGTGAGCCACAATTGTGTTGTTACACTCCAGCCTGGGCGACCAAAAAAAAAAAAAGAATTATAATCAAGTTGAGTTTTAAGTATTAGAAATATCCTATTCAAATGAAATCAAAGAAAATATTAAACTTAGTATACTCGTTATCAAATATTTTCTTGAAATAATACATGGCTGCCTTTGAAAACAATGAAAACTGACCAATGAGTGGCATCTCAGAATGAAAGAAGTATGTTGTTTCAATCATGAGAGGCAATTTTTAATTGGGCATGGTGGTACGCTGGTAGTCCCAGCTTCTTGGGATGCTGAGGCAGGGGCATCACTTGCACTGAAGAGTTCAAGACCAGCCTAGGTAACAATGAGACCTTGTCTCATAAAAGAGATAGGTGCCATATTTTAAAGTAGACAGCACCTAGAATATTGTGTTTTTAGACATGGAGCAAATTTTAAAAATCCAATGTATGACAAAGGATCAGTGAGTAAAGCTTTTAGTTTTTAACGTGCTGAGGGGAGTTTTTAAATATAGAGTCAAGCTTAAAAAAAAAATGTGAGGCGCATAGTATTATTTTAGGAGCTGATTCGCAATACTATTTTTTCTTTTAATGTTCTAGGAAATAGAATGGATACAGGAATATCGGAAAGAATATAACTTCAGTTTTATTCTCAGTGAAAAACTATAATTTTAATAAAATTTCCAATGTTAGTCTGTCCCATTGTAATTGTTAAATCTTAATACCCTTTCAACATTCTCTGTAAAGAATTTAATTGCTGGGCGCGGTGGCTAACGCCTGTAATCCCAGCACTTTGGGAGGCTGAGGCAGGCAGATTGCCTGAGCTCAGAAGTTCAAGACCACCCTGGGCAACACGGTGAAACCCCGTCTCTACTAAAATACAAAAAAAAACCACAAAAAACCAGGCGTGGCGGCGTGTGCCTGTAGTCCCAGCTCCTCAGGAAGCTGAGGCAGGAGACTTGCTTGAACCTGAGAGGCGGAGGTTGCAGCGAGCCAAGACGTTGCCACTGCACCCCAGCCTGGGCAACAGAGCAAGACTCCGTCTCTTAAAAAAAAAAAAAATGATTTGCCGGGCGTGGTGGTTGGCTACTCGGGAGGCTGAGGCTGGAGAGTCGTTTGAACCTGGGAGGTAGAGGTTGCATTGAGTCGAGATCGTGCCATTGCATTCCAGCCTGGGCAACAGAGTGAGACTCCATCTCAAAAAAAAAAAGAAAAGGAAAAAAAAGTATTTAATTATGACTCCGCCATACTATCACACCAAATTATCACGAACTTGTATATATTGGTGTCTTGCCATGACATCTCTGGAGAAAGAATAGCAGGGCAAACAGCCTTATGATTAATAGTCCTATAGGAGTACTTGTCTTAGTATTATATAATTTAGATTAATTTTTTTTTTTAAGCCAGAGTTTTGCTCTTGTTGCCCAGACTGCAGTGCAGTGGCATGATCTCGGCTCACCGCAACCTCCACCTCAAGTGATTCTCTTGCCCCACCTTCCCGAGTAGCTGGGATTACAGGTGCCAGTCACCACGCCCGGTTATTTTTTTGTGTGTATTTTTAGTAGAAATGGGGTTTTGCCATGGTGGCCAGGCTATTCTCGAACTCCTGACCTCAGGTGATCCGTCCGCCTCAGCCTCCCAAAATGCTGGGATTACAGGCATGAGCCACCACACCCAGCCTAGATTAATTTTTACAAAGAATGGAGAATATTTTTATTAGTAATTTAAGGAAATTGATTAAACTTAAAGCATGTTTGTGAAGAAGGATTGTAATTAAAAATGTAAACTTTTTTGGTAGATATTTGTTCAATCGAATCAAGGTGAAGAGGAAACAACACGAATTTCATATTTTACTTTTATTGGTACTCCAGTCCAGGCAACAAATATGAATGACTTCAAACGAGTAAGTTTGCTTAAACGATATAGGGATAGTAAAAATATAATTTTAATGGAATAATTTCATGTATCTCAACTGTCATACTTTCTTTTAACCAAATAATTCAAAATCACATCATGTCATAAAATTTTACAAGGCTGAACTAGGATAGAAAGTTCTCCTAACTATATTTTTAGATATCCAGCAAAGTAATCATTAATAAAAAATGATGTCGTGACTGATAAAGAGTCTTTTAATGAATGACATCAACATAAGGGTAAAAATAATAGTTGGGTTATAGAAAGTGGTTAGTAATAATGGAAAAATGAAAGTAAAATTATTTGAAAGCAATTGTGAGAATTAAAGAACTTAGTTGATACTAAGATTCTGGTGATTATTTCTGATGAAGTTTTAAATTACTTGAATAATTTTATTTAAAAAATAATAGACTGAGTTTTAATATACTGACATGTTAACTTTCCAAACCATGTTTGTATGCTGAAGTAGCACATTTCATGAAATAATGATAAACAGGCAAGTTTTCTGAAGTACTTTTATATATATGTGTGTGCATATAATTTTCTTTTGAAAAGACACAATTACAAGGTTTGTAAAGAATTAATAGGGTACGTGGGACCTTTGTTAATCCAGATTAATTCCTTTTGTACGTCACTGGAACAACTTCTAATGGGCAACAGTTCCCTAAGGTCACTCTTAAATATACAACCGCAGATCATCAAAGTGCTACTGAGAGCTGTATCAGTACAGAGCGTTAGTTGCTATATATTCAGTTTAAATGTGGCAGCACAGAATACATAGGCATCCCACTGTCTCTGATGATTGCATCTGGCAGGCAGTCTAGAGCTTGAGGAAGAGTTTCCTTAGGCCTGGCAATTCCTAGATGAAGAGGCTCCCAAGAGACCCCTGTTGTGGAATTGAAGATGGAGAACATCTTGAACACTCTTACTCTTTTTGGTGGCATCTACAGATCTGACTTTATTTCACTTGTAGAAAAATGTATTAGATTGCATAACAGAGGATGATCTTACAAAATTGTATGCTGTTTTTACCAAATTGCAAACCTGGACAATAGGTATTTTAACTGGTTGTTTTCCAGTTACTGTTTTCCTGTCTCATAGCGTGATAACGTTTTGGGGACCGCAGGAATAATTATGTACTTAGAGCTGTCATGTCTGGATGTTTCACATATGTATTATGTATCAGAGGAAGCAGAGATTAAGCATCTACATTTTTACGATATGAAATATGTTTTATTGGGAAAATGCGTGAGCAACAAAGACGTCTTGGCTGCCTGCTTTGCCTTTTTGAATTAGATATCATTGGACTTGGCTTTACGTGTGCCTTGTGTGGTTTGTTCTTAGCTTAGTTTTTTATAAGATCTATTACTATAAATCTTACTGTTTTCTCATGTCATTTATTTGGCTCTAGTTTCCTGTTTCTCACCTCAGTTTATGCTATTTTTCATTTTTTTCTGTAAATAACCACCATTCTATCTTGTTCATCTTCTTACCAGCTAGCCATTCGGTTAAAGTTTCTCTAATTTGCATGAATAATTACTCATCTAACTGTCTGCCTCCACTTCGTGTTTAACTTCCCCCTTACATCCCTTCTAGCCTAGTGTTTTCTCTTTTCTGACTGTCAGACTACCTTTCCTGGGGGCTGTCTTTAGGATAGCAAAGGTGTTAGACTTTTTTTGCTTGAGAGTATCTGTGCTTGTTTTATAACAGCCATTCATTTAATTTTTTTTTAACTTTAAATTATTATACGGTAGCAGTTCTCAAGCTTTTTGGACTTGAGACCTCTTTATATTAATACTATTGAAGACCAAAAAGAACTTTTGTTCATGTGGGCTATATTTATCTGATATTTGCCATTTAGAAGTTAAAACTGGGAAATATAAAAAATACTTGTAAATAATGAACACATGTTAACAAATATTTTTAAATAAAAAATAAGCATATTTTCTAAAAAACCAATTTGGTAAGAAGAAGAGTATTAATTTAGAATTTCCTGGGTTTTTTTTGTTTTTTTTTGAGACAGAGTTTTGTTCTGTCACCCATGCTGCAGTGCATAAGCACAGTTATGGCTTACTGCAACCTCAAACTCCTGGGCTCAAATGATCCTCCAGCCTCAGCCTCCTGAGTAGCTGGGACTACAGGCGAGCACCACCACACTCAGCTAATGTTTTATTTGTGTGTGGGGACAGGGTCTCACTATGTTACCCAGGCTTCTCTGTTTACGAGCCTAAAAGCATCCTTTCCTTCTCATATCTGCTTCTGCATTCAGTCAGCTTTCCTGTCACGCATCATATAGCCCCTGGAAAACTCCCCTGGATACTTGTGAAGAGCATGAGAGTCTAAAAGACAAAAAAACGATTTAGCATTATGAAAATAGTGTTGACCTCCCAGACTCCTTGAGAGGGTCTTGGAGACCACACTTTGAGAACTGCTACAAGAATAATTTGAATACCATAATCTACTCCCTTGTTGGTGTTCTGGGCTTCTTAGCCCCTTGCTTTTAATGTTTAATAAATTTTAATTGATAAGTGATTTTCTTATGTATATTAATATTACATTTTCTTGTAATATTTCTGAATGACATTTGTACTGTAGTCACTCATTGTCTTTTAGGGTTATTCTTTAAAAGTGAGCTAGTATTTCATTGTTTTTATATTTTACAAAGCAACAACTTCAATGTAGTTAAAAAAAAAAAAAGAGGGTTTACATGTGACTGAAACTGGCCAGCTTAGTCCTTGTACAGAGTTGCTTATTAAAAATTATAATTGAGTTTGGTTCTGGTTGAAGGATGATGTGTGGTATGGAATGTTTTGTCCTTATGGTACGATGCTAGTACAGTAGTCTCTCCTTACCCGTTGGGGGGGCGGTGGGGAGGAATATGTTCTTAGACCCCCCAGTGGATGCCTGGAACCACAGACATTAACAAACCCTACTGTGTGTTTTCCGTACAGACGGTTCCCAACTTATGATGGTTCAAGTTTACAGTACTGCAAAATTGATATGCATTCAGTAGAAACCATTCTCTTAAGTGTGGGGCAGTTTTGCGTTTTTGACTTACAGTATTTTCAACTTACAATGGGTTTACTTATTTTTATTTTTTTGAGATGGAGTTTCATTCTTGTCACCCAGGCTGTAGTGCAGTGGTGTGGTCTCAGCTCACTGCAACCTCCGCCTCCCGGATTCAGGTGATTCTCCTGCCTCAGCCTCCGGAGTAGCTAGGATTACAGGTGCCTGCCACCACACCTGGCTAATTTTTGTAATTTTAGTAGAGATGGGGTTTCACCATGTTGGTCAGGCTGGTCTCCAACTCCTGACCTTACCACCTGTCTCGGTCTCCCAAAGTACTGGGATTAGAGGCATCAGTCACTGCGCCTGGTCTTTACAATGGGTAGTCGGGATATATTACCCTATCGGAAGTGGAAGAGCATCTGTACATATATACATACCGCTGATAATGTTTAATGTATAAATTAGGCACAGTAAGAGATTAACAACAAAGCCAGGGCATGGTGGCTCACGCCTGTAATCCCATCACTTCGGGAGGCCAAGGCAAGAAGATGACTTAAGTCCAGGAGTTCAGTACCAGCTGGCAAACATAGGAAGACTCCATCTCTATTTAAAAAAAAAAAAAAAAAATTACCCATGCAAGGCGGTGGGCGCACCTATAGTCCCAGCTACTTGGGAGGCCGAGGTGGGAAGATCATTTGAGCCCAGGAGTTCAGGACCAGCCTGATAAACATAGTAAGACTCCATCTCTGTAAGAATATACACACACACACAATTACCCAGGCAAGGTGGTGGGCACACCTGTAGTTCCAGCTACTTGGGAGGCTCAGGTGGGAAGATCACTTGAACCCTGGAATTCAAGGCTGCAGCGAGCTAGGATCATGCCACTCTACTCCAGCCTGGGTGACAGAGCAAAACCCCATATCAAAAAAAAAAAAAAAAAAAGATTAACAACAACAACTAATAATAAAATAGAGCAATTACAACAATATACTGTGGTTAAAAGTTAACATGGATATGGTCTCTCCCATGCTTACTCTTCTCTCACTGTCTCAAAATATTTTATTGTACTGCACCATAGGCAGTTGAAACTGCAGAAGGTGAAAGCACGGATAAGGAGGGACTACTGTTCAGTCATGATCTCTGGTCTACAGCAAGTCTATATTCTTGTAGATGGTGGACAAACATAGGGGAAGTTAATCAAAATTAATCAAAGCTTAGTTCAAGGGTCTCTTTGTCCACAGAGTATTCTCAGATGTTACCAGCTAAGTGACTTTTCCTTTTCCTCCTACAATGACTGGGAAAATCTGAGAATACTTTGTAAAGAAAGAGGGCCTTCAACTAAGTTTCGAGAGTAGAATTTGTACAGTTCAACAGACAGCTATGGGCACCCTTGATAGAATGGAGAAGTAGGGACCTGGACATGAACTTAGGAAGGTGAAGGATTCATTCAAGGACAAGTCACATATGGCGTGTCTTTTTCTTTTACTCGTTTGGTCAGTCTGAATTAGTATGTACATAGTAATTAGAATTGAAAATTTCTTTTTTTTTTGAGACGGAGTCTTGCTGTGTCGCCCAGGCTGGAGTGCAGTGGTGCGATCTGGGCTCACTGCAAGCTCTGCCTCCCAGGTTCACGACATTCTCCTGCCTCAGCCTCCAGAGCAGCTGAGACTACAGGCACCTGCCACCACACCCAACTAACTTTTTTGTATTTTTAGTAGAGACAGGGTTTGACCGTGTTAGCCAGGATGGTCTCGATCTCCTGACCTTGTGATCTGCCCACCTTGGCCTCCCAAAGTGTTGGAATTACAGGCGTGAGCCACCGTGCCCGGCCTAGAATTGAAAATTTCAAAATAGATTTGGCATATGTTTTATAGGCACAGGGAGGAAAATTATGATGACCACTGTGTAGTGAAGGGTGCTATATAAAATGGCTTAATGAATGATAAAGTAGATCAAATGTTTAGCATTTTTAGTTTATATTTTTATCTTATGTGAGCTGTTTCTGGATAATTTCAGTTTTCAGTATGTCACTGACTTCCTTATGTCACTAAGATGACAGAAGCTAAGGTAATGCTGTTGAATCTCCAATGCTGATAGAAATCTTAGACAACCTTTCATGCTATTACAGGTTTTAAGGTTAGACTTTTAAGGTTTGGCAGACTAGATACCCCTTCTACTTGTCTGTTTTTGGTTCTTATAGGCATCATGCACACGTTATAATCTATACTTTGGCTGTTTGTTGTTGTCAATAGATTTTTTGTATTGCAGCATGAAAAACTTGCCATTGCCATCTTAATTGGAAGTAGATGTTTTTGCTAAAATACGCTGTTTATATGGATTGCTTTATTTTAATACAGAATTTTTAATTAAAATTTTATAAAAATAAAAAATGAGAAAATTATAGGGGCTTCTGCTTCTTAGGAAATGAGGTGCATGTGAAAATATTTTTATCACTATAATAAAAATAGACTTTTCTAAACTGGCCATTCACCGTATCAGCTGTTTTTGTAACATTTCTGTCTGTTTATTTTTCAGCTTTTTTAATCCAACTCAAATGAACTAAAAACAGAAGATATTTTAAAATGAAGTAATATAAAGATTGACCTTGTCTTACTCTACTCCCCTCCTTGCTTCTCTGCTCATCTAGCACCTGTCTGCTCTCACCCTTCCCATGTTCTCGCCATTGTTGGTGCAAGATTTCTACAGCTTCTATCATCTGGATCAGCCTTGTTACCTAGGTTTCCTCAACCATCTCTTTCTTCAGATCTCATCCTAGTTGTGTTTCTCAATTGGCCTTTTGTTTTGGCTTTCGTTTTGGGCTTGCAACTAGGTGCTTTAATTTTATTACCATACCGTGTTGCTCACTAGCCTTTTTACTTTTTTTACTTTCTACCGTTTTATATTTAATTTTGTACTACATTTTGAGAGGTAAAATCACAATAAACTTAAATTGTTATAAGTGGTTTTAGATTTAACTAGTTGTTGAATAATGTTTTAATCCATTCTAAACTTTAAATTTTATTTCCTAGGAACTATAGAATTCTTTTGGAAATCAAATATAGCAGTTGCATCAAGTTCTTTTATATTTGTGCTAGTTTAATATGTTGATTGCGTTTCAGTTGAGGGGTGTTAGTTTTCTTTTCCTCGTTGGAATGTTAGCCCCAAAGTCCTTTTGATGATTGCTTGGGGCATGTCCTCCGCTTTTGCCCAAGTGAGCTCAAAACCAGTTGAAGGACTTATGGACTGAATATTAGGCTGGGTTAACATATTAATATAGAAGATCAATGGACTCTCTGCATAAATATAAATAAAAAATATTTGAATAAATATTTTTTACACCTAATTTTTATGTACGTAGATTTTGGTTTGTCTGAGGTGTAATATAAAGACTTAAGAATGAATAAAAGAGCTTTACGTTTGGGATGACAATCCATGTTGGAATGTTGAATTTCTTCTTTTTTACAGAAAATACACATTGGCAAGTTGAGAGTTATCAGCCTGTGAAACAGTATGCAGATTTGTGTCTTCTGTATCACATCTGCTAGAAGTTTAATTTTTAATATTATTTGTTTTTGTTTTCTTTTGCTTAATCTAATAGCTTTGTGTTTTGTGTTTCCCAAGTAATATAATGATGAATAATGCTCTCAGTGTTTATCAGCACAAAATTTACTTGTGATAGAGATAATGCCACTTCCCCTTCTAGTGGCTCTTAAAACCGGAATTTCTTACTCTTATCCACATTCTCTTGTATGAAACTGCCTTTTTATCATCTTGCTAGCTTGTGAACTTTCTAACATGGTGTCTTTGGACCAAAGGGGAGTTCTTTTAAGGTACTAGAAGTGATTTTTCTCAGGGTGGGAAAAACATTTCTAGGATTGTGTGATTGGGATTTCAGTGGAAAGCTTTCAGGTCTCTCATAAATGATGTTGACCCAGCTATGTTATATTTTAGACCAGACATGTACTGATGACCTTTATGTGTTTTGCTGGTATAGATACTGCCATTTAGAATAGAATCAATTTAAAATACGAAAATTACATTTATAAATGTACACAGAAATCTTTCTACGCAAATACACATTCAGTATTTTGCAAGTGGGTTTCTTTAGAGGCATTTTTGCTCTAAGAATACATTATCTAATGATAAACTTTAAGTTTTAGGTAAATTTCTCAATTAGAACATAATTTTCTAACTCTCCTGCACAGAATTTGTTTTCTAGATTTGTTGGTGGAAAACAAATTTTTATTCTTCACATTTTTATGCTGCCACATATATAGCAACCAGAATGTTTTTTATAACCCTCCAGTAGAGGATTTTTCTAATCATTGACAGAAACAAGGTTTATTCGTTTCATTTTTAGTAGTACTCTTACACCAGGGTTTTTTTCTTAAACCAGAAAAAATTAGTCACTTTTAATCTGTTTTCATTGCATGTCAATGTTTTGAGGGGGGAAGTCTGGAAATTTGCTATGTTGGGCATGAAGACATGAGTTCAGCATACCCTTCTAATTCCAGATTCTTTTGTGATCAACATTTGATTTCTAACTATCTAAAAATAGTATGTCAAATATGTTTTACTCATATAGCATCATTTTTTAAATTAACTTCTTTAAACTTTCAACCTTGTTTTTAAAAAATTGCTATACTTAAAAACAAAAAAAAACTGTGTGAAACCAAAAATAGCCCGCATGTGTTTTATGTGTAATTCCTGTGGCTGGGGTGGGAGGAGAGGTCACAGTTTGCTTCAACAGTGAAAATACATTGCATGCCAGAAAAAATCCAAGGATAAAAATTAATACCAAGGTTTTAAACTGAGTACTATATTAGTTTTTTTTTAATAACGCATATTTAAAATCAATAGGATGTACATATAAATTTATTTTTGTCTTTCTAGGTAGTTGGCAAAAAAGGAGAAAGCCACTAAGGTGCAAAAGACACTGGACAACCATATTGCAATCAGATCTACAGCTCCTGGATAATTGCTTGATTCTCGCCAGAGACTGTCAATGTTTCATTCATTGCCATTACCAATAAATCATTGCTTTTGTTCAGATGGTATCACTAGTGTTTCCATTGTAATCTTGACACATGCAATTGTAAATAAAAGTCACTACTTTTGCCAAGCTTAATTTTTGTCATTCTAAATCAGTATTTTCTCTTTCCATGTATTTGAAAATTGGTCAACTTCTGATTTTAGAGGAGAGTTAAATGTCTGGTAGTATATTGATTGAAAGCCAGTTTCTTTAGAAAAGGAGAAACTGGTTTAGGGAATTGAGGAGTACATGTGCACACATTCATAGCAAGTGATTTTGATAAGTGAACTTGGAACAGCTAACCATGTTAAATCAGCACTAACTTGCATTTCTGTTAAAGGACATTTGCATATCTGAGCTATAGAAATGACTCAAATTATAAATTAGAAGAAATAAACAGGTTTAATGAGATTTCGCTACTCTTACCTAAAACTTAGCTAGTGGGTCCACAAATTCTTGCTTGGTATATACCAAGATTTTAATCTCTTCTGGTAAACTTTAAAATTTATATCAGCCCTTTTTTTTTATTTTTTTAAACTAATAGAAGAATGTGGAAATCAGATAGTTGGGGGAAAAATACAGCACAGGGAATTCAGAAAACAGTAGGAATTGGCCAGGCGCAGTGGCTCATGCCTGTAATCCCAGCTACTCAGGAGGCTGAGGCAGGAGAATATCAGCTGAACCCAGGAAGCAGAGGTTGCAGTGAGCTGAGATTGCGAGATTGCGCCCCAGCCTGAGCAACAAAGAGCAAAACTCCATCTCAAAAAAAAAAAAAAGAAATTATTACCTTTAATCAAGTATGTATTATCTGAACTACCAAAACGTGCAGTGTAAGTATACAGAGAACATGTTTTAAGGTTGAAAATGAGGTGCCCAAATAGAAATGTTTAAAAGGTCTTTCACAAAAGACTGGTAAAATATCTATTCATTACCTTTTTTATCTTAAAATTGTAATCAAAAAAGTATTAGTAGATTTAATTTTAAAATTTGAGTATTTTAAAAACTTTTTAAAGAGTACATAAGACTGTAAAATTGTGATTCAGGTAAACATTTGAGGGCATTCTTGTCTAGGAATATGGTAGAGATACCATTTGCCTTTGTGAGAGCAGTATATTTATACTTGTTTATGAAAAAATTCTACAGAAGTTTTAGTGTTGAAAGAGTCCCTTTCTGAAACTCAAGTGTCATTGGTTTAGTTCATTTGTATATGGGCACGTTAACTGGTCTGTGATGATGTCTGTATTTTAACACTCCTTACTTAGACCATCTCAGATTAATCACATCTGAAATTAAGGATAAGATTAATACACAAGGTTTTGGTTTACAGTTTTGTATACTTAACCTTTTTGAGTAATTGTTAAAGTGCCTCATCCTAAGTATTGGTGACCTTTTCCTATTTATACTTGACAGTTTGAAAAACCCAGTGAAAGAAATTTCGTATTTGTAAAGGATTGGGCATCAGATTTATATTGTTTATGTGACTTTTCTATAACAATTGGTTGCGGTATGCAAGCATTACATAATTCAAATTGTAAATAGAATGGTGAAAAATGAATGTTTACAGGTAACTATAACATGTTTCACTTATGGGAAATCTTACTATTCCAAATAAATATGCATAATTGACATTTAAAATATCAAGCTGAAATGCTAATGTTTTCTCCTAAAACAGTATATATATACACGTATGTGTGTATATATATATAACATTTATATATAACACTGAATTTTCCAGATGAATAAGAGCATTTGAAAAAATGTAACTCTAGTTATTTTAACTGAAGTCATTTATTAGTGCATCTAGAAAACTGGTATTTGGTTTCTTGTTCATTTTGTCAGACATAGCAAAAAAGAATCTCATTGTGTATTTTGTTACATTGACATCAGGTGCTTTTGATGAGAAACATTGAAATACGGTGTTCATAATAGAAACAAAAGTAAAGTATTGCAGTAGGAAGTCTTTGTCAGCTTAATGCTGAAGCCAAGAGTAGTACAAGGTACCACATTCTTGTGCCCGTGGCAGGCTTTTATAATCTTCTGAGTTCTTTTTGACGTCAAGTCCCACATTGTTCCCCAGTCTCAATATACTGTTGGAGGCAGCGACTTAACAATTAGAGTTGAAACCTGCCCCACATTGTTCCCCAGTCTCAATATTCTGTTGGAGGCAGCCACTTAACAATTAGAGTTGAAACCTGTCTGCCATCCTTTGTCTCAATGTTTGAGGATGTATGCAGTGTTTTTGGCAGCGATTATAGGAATGCTGTTATATATTTGGCCTCAGCAGTTTATTTATGGCTGCAATTAATATCGCTGATCATGGGATTTTAAACCTAAAATAGTTCAGATCCTCCCTTGTTCCTCTTAATATCTAAAAGCTTTAATTCTGTAATAAGAATAAAGTTTTGGAGTTGAATAAATTAGTTACACCCCTTCCTTTGTAAGCTTTAAAAACATGAAATGTAAGGCTTACTCATGTTGCTTGTATTGATATTCATTTAGTTCAATTTAGTAGGTTAATTTTTATGTGAGGTATATCTCTTCCGGAATTGATCATTTGTGATCTTAGACTTTTTTTTTTTTTTTTTTTTTTAAGATAAGTAACTTAGAAATCCAGCTGGAAACAGTGACTCACGCCTGTATTCCCAGCATTTTGGGAGGCCGAGGTGGGTGGATCACTTGAGGTCAGGAGTTTGAGACCAGCCTACCCAACATGGAGAAACCCTGTCTCTGCTAAAAATACGTGGTGGCAGGTGCCACACCCAGCTACTTCGGAGCCTGAGGCAGGAGAATCGCTTGGACCCAGGAGGCGGAGGTTGCAGTGAACCAAGATCGTGCCACTGCACACCAGCCCAGGTGACAGAGTGAGATTCTGTCTAAAAAAAAAAAAAAAAAAAATCCATTCACAGAACTGCTAAAGAAAAACTAGAGAAATATTTTGCTCATTTAGCTTTAAAAGTCATTATTAGAGGTGTGTATTTTGCAAAGTTTTCTAAATATGGATTATTCTTTATAATATAAAGCAAGTGCATATGCATATAGTAGTTAAATAAATTTTAAAATATTGACTATTACCCAGTTAAGCCTATACTTCTTAAGGAAGACTACAGATGTCATTTTAAGCATGTTTTAAAATTCAGGTTTTATTTTTAGATCAGTAAGGTTTTTTTTTTTTTTACATGCTTAGCACTATAGGAATAAGGACAGTGAAGATTTGTAGGCTAATAAGATTGCTTTCAAACTTTGTGGCCCATGTAAAATTCTTAGTTGGAGAATGTGTGATTAGAAAACTATAAGATAAAGAGATAACCTTTAGAATTTGAATGTTCTAAAATTGTACACAGCTTGGAATAATATTAAAATCTTAAGGATATGCAATGTTAAAACTGCTAGAGTATTTTTCCTTTGTGCTTGCTATGCTTCTCTATGGAAGAGGAATTTTATTTTGGAATTATTTCTAAGTTGAACAGACCAGAATTGTGGAAACATGATCTGTTGGTTTATAATTGGACACGCATTTGGAGATATTGGCTCATCATACTGCCTAGGAGCAAGATCTGAGGTTTGAATCCCTGCTCCTCCACTTGTTAGCTGTGTCATCTTGAGCAAGTAACATCCTTCAGAGCTTGAATTTCTTCTTGTGTAAAAATAGGAACATCTATCTCTTAGACTTGTTCTGAAGATGTGCCTTAGTTTGTATCTGGAACAAGGATAAGTATCTTCTGTATCCTGCTTTCATCTGTCGCTGCTTTTTAGGCCATCATTACTTACTTGGCATAATGCAGTGCCTCCTTTGTCTCCTTGCTTCTGGTCTGGCCCGCCTCATGTATCCTCCGCGTGGCTGCTGGTTTTCTTTATGGGGTCTCCAGCCTCCCCATGCCCTTCAGTGTATTGCAGTATATTACCAGGTACCAGAACGTACCCTAATATCTTACGCCTTCCTCTGACATAACTTTTCCATCTGACAAATTACTACTAATCTACAAGGCTGAGTCCAAGCAAAACTGATACCGGGATTAATCATAACAATTGTGCACGCCTCCTTGGCTGCCATAGCACCTTGCCATTATTTCATCCAGATACGTATCAGGCTACTTGTAATTATTTGTAGTCTCATTTGGACCACTAGATTGTGAGCCGTAATACAAGGATTTTGTCTCTAGTGTTAAGCCAGTTTATTTGGTTTCTATCATCATTAAATACATGTTGAACAAATTCTCAGGGCCCAAGGGGAGATTGGGGTGAGTCAGAGATAAAGTAGGAATTTGCAGTTGAGGAAGGTAAGGAAGATAATTTAGCTGAAGTAAAGGAAAAGTGCATAGTGTGTTCGTAGAGCGGGAGTTAAGTGTAAGAGACATTCTAGGGAAGTGAGGAAGGAGAAGAAGCTGGAAGAGCAAGTAGAGACCTTAACGTGGAGCTCCTCTTATCATGTGAGAGAGATCAAACTTTATCCTTAATTTATGGGAGGAGCGAGCATAGAGAAGTCCATGATGTCTCACAAGTTTCTCACTTTTACAATTGAATATAGAAGTAGCTCTTATATTCAGTTCTACAATTGAATATAGAAGTAGCTCTTACATTCAGTTCTACAATTGAATATAGAAGCAGAACATTCAGAGGGGAAGATGAATATGGTTTGGGGTACATTGCCTTAAAATTCATTTTTGGTATTTGGGTGGTGATGTCTAGTAAGTAAAAAGCCAGGAATGTTATTTTAGAGCTTAGAGCTAGAAGCAGGGAACTAGGAGTTGTTTAGATGATGAAAACTTAAATAGGTATATGAATGGGAATTTTTAGAACGTAAAGGGAGGGAATGAAACTGAGGAGCAAATGTTAGGGAATCCAAAGAAATATTAAAGAATTGGGAGAAGAGGAACTTGGAAGGTAGAGTAGTAAACAGGAAAGGGAGGAAAAACAGGAGGTGGTAATAAAGTAGTGTTAATGAATCCAAGAGGGAGCAGTCATCGTCTTCAAATGTGATACTGAAATTAGTTGGGATGTCCAGTTGTTTAATCCATTAAATTGTAGAAACAGTCTTTCTCGTGCTTAATTATAGGAATCATTGATTATATTAATACACTTTTCAGTTGAAAGAAACA